CAGCTTGGGCCGGCCATCCAGCTCCTTCTGCAAGGTGGGCACCATGCTGAAGCACGTCTTACTCACTGGCCGGATGCCCTGAGCGCCCAGCTCGGGAACTGTGGGGCCCAGGCCTTGTGGGTACTGCTCAGTCAGCAAGACAGGGACATCCAGCAGCCGGGCCACCTACGTGGGAAGGGAGACACAGGGCTGGATCCCAGGGATGAGGGCCGCCGGAGGACTGGATACCCGGGGCTCCAGGAAGGAGGGTAACGGTCCGGTCCGGTCTCAGGGAGCAAGGCTTGGGCCTTGAACCCCCGGGGTCCTGAAAAGAGAAGGAGTTCCTTGTACCTTAAGCATCCGAGCGGCCACTGATACGATCTGTGGGAAATAGGCGATGCTGGGGCGGAACTTCTCCTGCATGTCGCATAGGAACAGGATGGAAGACTCCGGGAGGATCCGGCCCAGGCTAACCCTGGCTGCTGCCATTTCCTAGGGGTGGACAGAGGGACAGCAGGCAGGGTCAGGCGGCGGGGGTTGCTGGGGATTCCAGTGAAGTCTTGAGTAAATGTGAACTTTGGCCATGCACGGCCATGTCAAGGACCAACCCCTCAGTCCAAAATGCTGCCCCTGTAAGGTCGTCACTGGAGCTTCGCACAAAGCGGCAGGGCGAGAGGGTTCAAGGACGGACGCAGGACGCATCCGGGGCTCACACACGTGGTTCTATATTCCCTGCGTCTTGTGCTCCTGTTCCCATCTCCAGGCTTTTTCACCTGCTGTCCTTGGCCTAAGATTTTTCTCCCTCTCTCCCTCCCTCCCTCCCTCCCTCCTTCCCTGTTTATAGGCGAGGCTACCTCCCCAGGGACCCTTCTCTGAGCGTACATAATTGCCCAGGCCCCAGTGTCACCCCCAGGGAGGAGGGGGCCCAACTCCCCAGCTTTCCTCTTCTGACACAAAGGTTAGTACAGTTCCCACTTTCTACCCAGTGGAGCTCATTCAGGGCTCTACCCTGGGGAAACTGAGGCCTGAGCAGTAAGGCGACCTGCCCAGGAGCATACAGATCTGGGATGTTATCTTTGAGGAAAAAAACAAAACAAAACAAAAAAACAAAGAGCCACAGAGTCTTGCTATGTAGCCCAGGATGGCCTTAAATTTACAATCCCTCAGCATCAGCCTCCTGAGTCCTGGGCTAATAGGGACATACCGCCATGTCAGGCTCTTTCAGACCCTCAAATCCCAGCTTCTCCAGAAAGGCCAATAGGTCTTTCCCAGCCTTAGTTTACCCATGTGTAAAACACTGTTGCTGCCGGGCAGTGGTGGCACACGCCTTTAATCCCAGCACTCGGGAGGCAGAGGCAGGTGGATCTCTGTGAGTTCGAGACCAGCCTGGTCTACAAGAGCGAGTGCCAGGACAGCCTCCAAAGCTACACAGAGAAACCCTGTCTCAAAACAAAAACGAACAAATAAACGAACAAACAACCACTGTTGCTGAAGCTCCTTCTGGGACTTGGAAAGATGCCCACACAATGGCATATTAGCCAGTCATAGAAACTAGTGAAACCCTAATAGGCATTACAAGTACGATATTCTGTGTAAAAGGTCCACGATAAAGGCCATGTGGCGTATGAGGCTACCCACAGGAAATTCCAGAATGGCCCATGACTGTAATTTCACCACTCAGGAGGCTGAAGCCAGGGTGATCACTGAGTGTTCAAGGCCAGCCTGGGACTAAAAAGAGAGTTCCAGGTCAACCAGGAATCTGGAATAAGACCTTGTCTTAAAAAGCCAGTGAAGGAGCTGGAGAGAGGGCTCAGCAGGCAAGAGCCCTGGCTGCTCTTGCAGAGGACCTGGGTTTGATTGCCAGCACCCACGTGGCAGCTCACAGCGGTCTGTAACTCCCGGTCCAGGGGACTCAGCAACCTCTTCTGGCCTCTGCAGACAGACACCAGGCACAGATGCAGTACACTGGTACACATGCAGGTAAACCACCCATACTCGCAAAATAAAGTCATAATTTTAAAAATTAAAAAAATGAAGGCTATTAAACAATACAAAATTAATAAAAAAATTTAAACATAAAACTTAAAGCCGGCCAGTGGTGGTGCATGCCTTTAATTCCAGCACTCGGGAGTCAGAGGCAAGCGGATCTCTGTGACTTCGAGACCAGCCTGGTCTCCAGAGCAAGTGCCAGGACAGCCTCCAAAACCACAGAGAAACCCTGCCTCAAAAAAACCAAAATAAATAAATATTAAAAAATTTTTAAAAATGAAACTTAAATGCACAGGGGGCACATGTGTGTGCATGTGCATGTGCATGTGCCTGTGCGTG